ATTGATTTAACCTCGATAAAAATTTAATGTTGATATTCCAACTATATATAACAATGTTGCTATTATTTTGTTTTTTTTTTTTTTTTTTTGATGAATAATATACAAAATATGTAATAATAATCTTATATGTTGATTTTTTGAACAATCTATGCGCAATACTAGAACCTTAGCTTACACATTTATATAGAAACCTAATATTTCATATTTCGATTAAATTATTCTTTGACTGGTGAGAACTGAATCCCTGGGATGAATTTGGAGTTAGACAATATATTTTTCTAGCATACATTTTGATTCTAAATGAACACGGAAAATAAATCTAGACTTATTAATTGTTTTACATGCCATATTTTTTCCTTATTTATCCAAGAGATTCGCTCTTCGGATATTCTTTCCAAATATAATTCAACTTGTATGCCGCGCACCTTGATCGCACATGCCCTTCTCGCACTTCTCTCTGGTGATGAGTAGGTCGCCCTACCTACCATACTATGTGAACTACAAATGTATGAGCCCAGAGATCGCCCCATGCACATATTGCATCTAGCCCATTTCTTCTACGGATATTGTTGTGTCTTTGATACAAGAAATACTCGCCCAGTCACACACAACTCACTCTTCTATACGATTGGGCACATTTAAATGAGTTCGGCCATGTTTGCCGAACTAATCCCCATCAGGATGCAAAAATGCCTTTGCAAAAGAAAGTCATCAAATGTTCCTAGCAAATTTAATTATCAAATTCTCCTCCCACAAGATGAAATGTGTGATTTAAAAATTCAACTATCCAAATGGTTTAAATTGATGATGAATTTTGTTATTGTGGTTGGATTAGATTAGTTAAGTTGAAGTACTATACAATATTGTAGCAAACATCAAATTAGTTTTAACTGATGACTCATTTTGATATTTTTGAAGTTCTCTGGCCCCATTAATCCAAAAGCATGCCAACTAAACACAGTTAACAAACTAATCTACTCCCACACCTTTTTCATTTGTGGGAGGGAATTTCTTTAAACTTTCAAGAAAGCTCATAAGAGAAAAAATGAGAATGTTTATGATTGTTGCAATGTATTTTAATTCGTAGAGTTCATAGTGTGGTCAAAAGAAACATTAGCCCTTTTTTTTTTGCATTATAGGGAAACATTAGCTGGTTTTTTATACTTGAAAGGAACTATAGTGTTAAAGCAAAATATATAATGCAGAGTCAATCATTCACAAGAATTTAATCATGAGAGATAGACCCCCCTCATAAAATTCCCTCCATTTTGCGGAATCTTGATCCCGAATATGAGCAAAAAAAGGGAATTTTGAGCTTGGAAAAAAGTTTTCAAGCACTTAGTTACAAAAACAAAAGATAACTGGATCCCACCCTTGTCCCTCCATTACACAAAAGGCTAAGCAAAAAAAAAAAAAAAAAAACGAACATTTAATTTAGGCATCGTTCCAATTAGCAAAAACCGGCAAGTGAGCCTTATTAGTGAGTAGAACCGGCTTTAGCTTATCGCTTGAAATCCAAGAAGTGTATTTATCAGGGCTACCTTCTCTTGAGCTGCTCAAGCTTGTAACCAACGAGGATGCATTCGACAAATTCGGCGCCCCCATTGCGTTATTCTTCGTTTGGCTCGAACCCATACCGATCATCAAATCATGCAGGCCCCCCGAGAAAGGATTATTAGTATTATTATTAATATTCTGATGATAGTTTTCAATTATGCCATGTGGCACCATTTTCCAATCACAAGACGAACTTCCACTTCCGACGTCGTTGTTGTTTTCGTCCACTTGATGGACTATTGTGGGGTCCGCCTCTTTTATCCGTCTCGCCACGTCAGCGGTGGGCAGAGTGTTGCTTGACATGATTTTGTCGACGTGGTATCTTGATATGTCGAAGTTTGTGACGGCATTTGCACCGCGGAATTTGATTGCTGCTATGTCGTAGGCTTCGGCTGCTTCTTCCTGTGTGCCTGAATTAAATTAAATTAAATTAAATTAATTAATTAGTAAGTAATATTATTCAAGAATGTTGTGTGACAAAAGACCTTTTTTTTTAGTTCTCTTTTATCGTTTTGTCTCATGGAAATACAGCTTTAAAAAAAAGTTGTGAATCCCCACTCAAGTTATAGCTACGTACAGTCAAAGTTGATGGAAGATCAGCCTTACCAAAAGCACCACTACAAGACCAATTATTTTTATTTTATTTATTTTATTTTATTTTTTATAACCTAGAATCTAATCTTTATTAGGAATAACATGCTGAAATTAGAGTGGATATTCAGAAAAAAAAAAAAAAAAAAAAACCGAAAACCGGACAAAAACTCGATTTGATGATTTAATATACTTACTGAAAGTTCCGAGGTAGAGATCTTTGTTGCCTGCAACACGACCGATCCGAGCTTGCCATCTTCCGTGCTGATGATGCCTGTAATAATTAACACGAAAATAAAATAAAAACATAAAAAACCCAATTGTTTAGTAACATTTTTTTGAATTGTTATATATAAAGATCATTAAAAAATTCGAAGAAAAATGACCTTGTAACACCTCTGTATATGGAAGCGCCTCTAGAAAATCCACTGCTTTTCCTGAAATTGATCTTACCTTATGTGAGTGTAATAATCAAGCACCGACGATAACTAATGCTACTTGATTACGATGCAACTAAGCAATAATCGAGCTTATAATGATTAACGACTAAGTGATCGATAAAATATGTTTTCGCACCTTCTCAAATGAGCGACGTGTTCTTGTCGGCTCATGTTCTTCATTTCCTCGAGTTCTTGATGGTAGCTTTCCAACTGCAAAAAAAACAGCAAACAATATATATATCATCACCTACAAATTAATTAAACACGATATATAAGAGGTAATTAAATTAAAAGAATGGGAAATAAAAAAAAATACCGGAAAATTAATATGAGTAGAAGGGCCCCAATACTTGAGAGCAGCAAGATCATATGCTCTTGCAGCTTTCTCTTCCATATCATACCCTCCTGTAATTAGATATGCTTGTCATTTGTAAATTATAACAAATTAAATTAATTTTTTTTTTTATATGTTCTTGTAATAATGAGAAGTAAAAAATTCTTACCAAGATAGACTGAAGATTCACATGGTTTTGATGGGAACAGCATATCCAGACAAGAAGACAAACAATAATAATAATACATTCATTAAAATTCAAAAAAAAAAAAAAAAAAAAATTAATTAGTGTTGTAATTTTGTTGAGTAAAATATAAAATTAATGAATTAATTAACCTTGTCTCCCTTTTCTAGTCTGCCCCTCTTTCTTGCAACTGTTATCCCACAGGTGAGCTTCATACCTACCAGTCCACCTGTGTCTGTTTGTGCACATATTCAAAATATTTATTTAAATATATAAATAAAAAAATAAAATATTGAAACTTAATTGTAGAATTAAAATTGAAAATTTAAGTAATAGAAAAAAAAAAATCAGACCTTGTGACACCTCTAAACTGAGAAGTTCTTTGGCCAAAAGTGTCGATAGATTTCCTGTGATGAACAGTTTGCTTCTGCGCCATTAATTTCTCAGAAGACCCTCTCTTTTTATTAATAATATTATTTTGTTGGACAATGGACACACAGTGGGTGGTGTCAGCAGTGAGGTTTACACAGCTGCTGCTGCTTGTCTGTGAGCCAGGACTCATCGACAATGTTAAACTATGTAAATCGCCACCACACCCTGCTCCCATTGTTGTTGCTGTTCCTCTATTTTCCGACACCGCCGTATTATTATTATTATAATGAACCAGCTGGTGGTTGTGGTGGTGTTGAAATGCATGGTGGTGGTCGTGATTATCATAAACCCACGTTTTAAAACATGGGATTTCATTACCGTTGTCGTTGGGCATTATCATTGCAGTTGGTGGTTCGTCGTTGGTTGTTTGGTAAACGACGTCGTTGTTGTTGTTGTTGTTGTTGTTGTTGTTGTAGTTGAGGTCAGAAGAAGAATAATAATAGTGCTGCTGTCTGAAGGAATCTTGGTTATGGTTATTATTATAAACCCTTGGATTTGGATGGATGATTCCGTACGGATGAGTCGCCATTGTTGTACCACCCAAGAAATCTTCCAGCTTCGGTGACGACGAACAGCTTCCTCCCATCCTCACACCTTCATCAAAATAAAAATTTATTTAAAAAAATCAAAAACACACACACACACACACATAGAGAGAGAGAGAGAGAGAGATATGTACCTTGAGGAGAATGAGATGTGGAGAGGGGGGCGTCGATAATGCAGAGAGAGCCGTCTGATTTGAGAGGCATTACGACAGAGAGAGGAGAGAGAAAGTGAGCAGTACTAGTTTGGGCGGCGCCGCCGCCATTAAAATGAATGTGTTGTGAAGAGGAGGAGGAGGAGGAGTTATAGAAAGTAGTAGAAGTGGTGTTGGACTCCATTTTCAAGTGTGGTGAGAGAGAAAATCCCAACCAGTTACTTATATCATCATCACCACCACCGCCGCCATTATTATTATTATTATTATTATTAATACTGCTGCTGCTTCCAATTCCATCGTTGTTGCTGTTCATCATGGCCGCCGACTTCATTTCACAATTCATTTATTTATTAAAATTTGTTTTCTTCTTTGAATTTCCTGATCCTCAAGAGCAACTCAATCATTGGCAGAAATTAAAAAAAAAAAATAGTAATCATTTCATGAGAGAACTAGCTAGAGATATACTTACTTATAAACAAGAACAAACAACTACTACTCTCTCTCTCTCTCTCTCTCTCTCTCTCTCTTATGCAAAGAATGTCATCTCTCTCTCTCTCTCTAACACACAGTATATAGTATATACTGGTCCCTTGAAACAAAAACAAAAGGAATGAATTCCAGCAAAGTAAAGATATATGCTGGGAAATGGGTAGCATTTCGCTTCCTGCATTCCATGGGGATCTGTGTACGCATTATTTATATACACACACCTCTCTCTCTATCTCTCTCTCTCTCTCTCTCTCTCTCTCTCTGTGTGTGTGTGTGTGATTAAAAGCAAGAATATGACTTTTGCTTTACTTTTTTTTACTGCTAATTAAACCCAACTTTGCTATACAAACCCTACTTATATTAATAATAACAATATAAAGACAAATTAATCCCACTTCTTGTGTTAAATTATTGTTTGCCAAACATAACCTTTCCTGCATTTATCATAATATATAGGTCGTTTAATTAATTAATACCCTCAAAAAACTATTTGTAAATATTCTTTGACTCCCCCACTTTTCTCTCAGCCGCAAGGATACGAAGCTGCATTTTTTAAGGTTAGTGTCGGCATTGATATTTTATTTATTAATCTGTTAATATAAATTAAATGTTCCTCTAGACTTTTGTTTATTTTATTGGTAATAATAATCATTAGAATATGTTAAATCTTATCTCAACTTTATAGCTTAATTTCTGAAATGTACAAGTTTGGCACCTTGGCCCATCAGAAATAATTTTTGGCACTTTACACCCTCGAGACATGTTTAATCGTTCAAATTGCACCCTATTTTATTATTTTATGTCCTGAAAATACATTAGCACTTTGCACCTCGAAGAAAAAATCTATTTTTTTAGATGAAGAAAAAATCTATTGAATAGACAAAAATGACTATGTTTCCAAGTCAAAACACATAATTTAATTTGTAGCCTTTTGAATTTATTTTATAATCCAAATTCAATTAACTGGGATGAACGTCGAAGGAGAAAGTTATGTTTGAAATAGTTCCAATTTGAATCTAAGAGAAAACTCAAACTATCAAAGTTGTATGCCGATGTTTATTTATTCATGTGTAATTATGGGTGACACCATCCATTTTAGTTGATTCAATAAGTTGAGTATGCTAAATATTTTTAACTCTTTTTTTATTAAGGCTTGAGAGTTTGGGGTATAATTTTTTAACTGAAATGCTATTTATAGAACAACTTTTACCGGCTTGCAGTGCGACTTTATTTCATTTGTAACTTTTCTTCAAAAATTCAAAATCCTCTCAAACCCTATTCAAGGTCCTTCGAGTTCTTGCAGATTAAACGAGCAATTCAACAACGATTTAAGGTAAAATTCGAACTCGAAATCGTTAACCCAATGTTTTATAGTAGTATATTAACAAATTTCGTCGAAAACCTATACGTTTTCAGTATTTTGAAAACATTCGAAACTTTTCGGAAAAAAAATTCGTTTCGTGTAAGAACTCACGAAATTAAGGGGCTAATTTCGTGATTTTTTCCACGAAATTAGCTTAATAGTTTGTTTTTCTTACGTTTCGTGCACAATTATACGAAACGAAAGCTAACATTGCGAGAGATTTCGGAATGTAAGCTTTTGTTTCGTATAATTGTGCACGAAACGTATGTGTTTTGGCAGTTTTACTGTTATTTCGTGGAAAAACACACAAAATTAGTGCTTGTATTTCGTGTGTTCTTACACGAAATGTAAGCATTAATTTCGTGTGTTTTTCCACGAAATAGCTGCATTCAGTTTTTTTTTTTTTTAAGATTTGTTTTATTTATTATTATTATTTAGACTGACGTTAATAGTGTTTTATTTAACAGATGGCAGGCAAAGGGAAATCAAAGGCAATTATGCGAGCAGTTCGTGAAGAGGCTGAACATCAAGAGCGCGAGCGCATGACTATGTCTACACGACGTAGGCGAGAGGCTGAGAGAGCTGGTGAAGCCAGATCATCTGTTCCACATCCCGATGTTGGGTCTTCTTGTGCTATGGAGGAGGAGGAGGAAGAGGAGGATGTTGTGGACCCCGTTCACGAGACTGAGGTTGTAGCTCGTGGAGGTCGTGGAGGCCGAGGACGGGGCCGTGGAGGTCGTGGTGGTCGAGCTCATACTCGAGTCAATCCGGATGTGCTAGATGGTCCATTTCCCGGTGGCCCGCGGGATCCGTCTTTGATACCGAGTTTCAAGTCGCACGTACCGGCATATATTTGGAGGGGAGAAGTAAGTTAATTACTTGTTTTAATTTTAATATTATAATTTTTGTATCTTATATTAAAATACTTTTATAGTTGATTAATTAATATGTTTTCTAAATAAATGATTGCAGGAACGTCCGGTTGGACGAGTGGAGTCCCGTATCAACTCCCTGAACCAATTCAACTACGAGAAGATAGCAGCTGCCCTAGAAGACATAGATGTATCCGTAGACAAGCATTTGTAAATTTATATTTTAATAAATTTATTTTGTAGATAGCAGTCCCGTATCAACTCCCTGTACTTATTTTGTTCATCATTTTAATATATTTTAATAAATTTTAATATATTTTGTAAATTTTAATATATTTTAATAAATTTTAATATCTTTAAATAAAATATTGCAGTGCTGGATATACGAGTATTTCCCGAGATTCCAGCCGCCGGAGGAGAGCGAGCGCTACCGCGAGTTTCAGCCTCGATGCAAGAGGTGGAACGCACCGCCAAAAGCGGGCACGCTCGAGCATATTCGAGGTTTACTTGACAATATGACAGCGGATGATGTAAGTCTTTTATATTTATGTATTTATATTTTTTTAAATATGAATTTTTCGGTTTATGTTTGTAGTTTGTTTAAATATGATTTTTTTGATTTATGTATTTATATTGTTTTCTATTTAGGTCGAGTGGCTACCGTATGGTCGGGATATATACGAGAGTATCCCTCGTACGTTGTATCATGGCACGATCCAGTACAAGTGGGTCGTAGAGCCCGTATATGCCTGATCGTTGCGTCCGACAGTTCGGGTGGGTTCAGGATATTCCGCGCGGATTGATTCCATCGATGGAGCCATGTTCACGCGGTCTCAAATGAGGTACATCGTACAAAGTCAACTACCCATTTTCGGGTGGGATGTGGGACATGGTCCAGGCTCATTCCATTCGTGCCAACGCATACAAGACGGCACGACAACGGGGGGAAGTCGACGAGCACTACATGGAGTGGTACACCAATCGGACTCATCTGAAGATCAACAACCCCGACGTAGGCCCGGCTCCAGTGCATCGAGTAAATGTGAGGTCACCAGATCAGCCGGCTTATTACCAGATAGTACGTGCATTGTACCCGATCACCAGGAGCACTGGACAGGATTGGATGCAGCAGTTTGCCGATCTACGTGCCGATCTTTGAGATATTATGCAGCCCGCCGCCCGATATATTGGCATCGACCATGGCAACGACAACGACGACGACGACGATCATGAGGTGCAGCCGCCGAGGAGAGCGAGGCGGTAGTTTATCGGTTTTTTTTTGCCAATTATATATTTTTATGAACTATTTAATTTTAAAGTTTATTTTTATTATTATTAGGACTATGCATTTTTATTATTGTTATGACTTATTTAATTTAATAATTTATTTTTATTTTTATTAGGAACTAATTATTTTACTAATCTTATTTATTATTATTACGAACTATTTAATTTACTAGTTTGTTGTTTTGTATATTAATTTACTAGTTTTATGATTTGAATTTAGAAACTACGTACAACTGAAGCAATTAAAGTATACATTTAAACAACCTTACAAACAACCTTACAAATTTAATCATTCCAAAAACATAGGTTAAACATATAAAATGCAAAACACAACGCTACAAATTTAAATATTCCAAAACATAAATTAAACATTTAAATGCAAAATTAAAACAAATACAAATTTAAACATAAGTTAAACTTTCAAATATCCGGCAGATGGTTATGATTACCATTACTCACATTCAATCGCCATAATCCATCCTCCGTTGATTTTTTGCCAATTAACCTGAACGGACAAGAATGTTTCTTCAATAGTATGTGTCGTCCAGATTGATATCTTGCACACGTTAAAACATGATATTTTTCTGATTTACAATGATTAATCAGTCGATGATTATGACTAATTGCTGTGTCTTTTGCCCACATAATTAACGCTTCTCTACTATCACACACAATACCACGTTCAAAGAAGTGACTAAAATCGTGAGATTGTTCTCTTAGTTCCTGCATAAATATTTAAAATTAAAAGACAATATTTAAGGGATTTCGTAGAAAAACATACGAAATGTAAACTACAATTTCGTGTAAAAACACACGAAATAAGAGCTTCCATTTCGTAGATTTTACTACGAAATGTAAGCTTTAATTTCGTATGCTTGTCTACGAAACAAACAACAAACGATTTTAAGACATATTTCGTATAGTATTACACGAAATGAGAGCATATATTTCGTGTGTTATAACACGAAATGTCTAAAAACGTTAGAAATGAACAAAAAACGTGTATTTTCACCTCAAAATCGAAGCCGTTGTCATCCATGTCAATAATACTTGTGCTCTAACTGATATTGATCGAAAAATTACTCAAATTGA